CTACAGTATACGAAGTTATACTCAAAGATCTCAAGGAGAGAGACAATATGGTAACTACTTTTATGTTCGGATTATCTTGTGGTGAAACACTAATTTGCTTAAATGGTTATGTATTGATCTGCACTGTTTAGTTGTTATGCCCTCTTTTATCTCAATCTCCATTTTATTATTTACTTTTTTATTTTTATCCTTTTAATTAAAGGAAAAATAAATTTTAAAAAAGGCAGGATATATTATAGTAACCCACTTTGATATTCTATTAACTTGATTAGAAGCCCTGTATTGCTCTCACCATCTTGTTTTGACTGATGTTCCTCTATTCTGCTTTGCTTGATAGTACCAGGTTCAAAAGTTTAGGCAACAGCTGTGAAGATAGTGGGATTCATTATGACGCCCATACTGGTTGACTATTATCTACTTTTGAAGACCTGTAATGTCTCCAATGTTTTGGTTTTGTTGGTTTCGTCCTTTACTGTTTTGTTCAATTTTATTATAACTGATGATGTAGGCAGTTCTATTTGAGATAGCGGGAGGCATTATGGTAGCCATTGTTGATCACCTTGTATTATGTTTTTACATTATCTATTAGGTCCACCCTTTTGATTTAACCGATTCTGTTCTGTTAAGTCACATTTGGTTTTACTCTCTTCCAAAAAAAGCAATAAGAACTGTGGGAGCAATAAAACCCAAAATGTGTAATAGTCATTGTACAAAAGAGAGGAAAAGAAAGTGCTCTAAATGGTATAACTGCATGTAAATTTAAGTGTATAAGATAGACAATGATATTACTGAGTTTTGTTGGATCATTGAACAGAACTGTTTGCAGTCTCACTGTTTGAATGTCCACTTTATAAGCTTTAATCTTGTAACTTGAACAAATATTTCTAAGATGACAATATGTAATCCATTAACTAATGATTTCCTACTGTTTATTTTTTTTCTGTAAATCTGTATAACGTGTGCCCTTTTTCTGCTTTTTTTCTTTTTTCTCCTTAAATTAAAAAAAAAAAAGTGGAACCCTTGGGAGGAAACTTGGCTTTAATAGAGGATTTTCCTGAGAGCATCCTCATTTTGGATGCCCTTTGTTTTATCTCATTTTAAATTGTGTTATTTTGCCAGTGAGGTTGCTCATGGTTTCCAGCATTTAGTAGAAAGTAAAGGTAAAAGCCTGTTTTCTGCTTTTTTATATTTTTGCTTTCCTTATTTCACTTCATTTTAAACCTTCTTATAATCTTTCCTTTAGGTTAATTCAGAGAAACATTGACTTTTTTTGCTTTGTTTTTAATCAGAAGTGTTTAGGGTGTCTTCTCTATTATGTATGCCCTTGAGCATTTCATACTATGGATATGTCATAATTTTTAAATCATACTTTTTTCTTTATAAAAACTTACAAAGTAAAAAATTTTTAGTATATAAATCTTTGTGTTCATGTACAAGTAGTTTTTTTACAAGTAATTTTTATCACCAGAGGTTCTTCCTCTTTTTTTTTTTTTTTTGGATACAGAGTCTTGTTGTGTAGTCTCGACTGGTCTTGAATTCATATGTAACCCAGGCTATACTTGAACTCAAAGCAGTTCTCCTGTCTGTGTCTCCCAGAGTGCTAGCATTATAGACGTGTACTACTACACCTGGTTAGAGTCATTCTTTCTTAGTCTTTTCTGTGCTTATAAATTTGTGGATGCCCTGAAACCTAATTGCTGTTAAGTAAGTTTCAGATATCCTGTAAAAGTTTCCTTTCCAAATAAAGTATACCATAGTAAACATTTTGTTTCTTTTTCTTTTTTAGTACTAGGGATCAAACTCATGACTTCACACTTGCCAGGCAGGTACTTATGCCGCCAAGCTAAATCCACAGTCCCTAACATTTTGTTTCTTTTTGAATATAATTTAATTTTGCTTATTTTTAAAAAGTTAATTTTATTGGTACATTTTAGATATACATAATGATGTTCATCATAGAGAATTTGTACCTGTACATGATATATTTTGGTGACTCCTAGTCTCTCTTTCAACAGATTTAGTATTTCTGTTTTAATATTTAGATTTTTTATCCCTTTCAAGTTTAGTGCATGTGAAAGACATGGGTCTAGTTTTAGTCTCTGGCATGTGGAAGGCCAGTTTTTCCAGCACCATTTATTAAAGAGGCTATCTTTCTTTCACTGAAGGTGTTTGCCTCTATTTCAAAGATAAGGTGATTGAGTATGTTGAATTGTTTGTGCATCTACTAATCTGTTCCACTGCCTCTGGTTCCTCATGTAATCAAAACCAAAAGCCATCAGCAAAGTATACTTTCCAGGTGGCATAATTGCAGATAATTGAGGAAGTAAAATAGTTGACAGTACAGAGACACATGGGTTTGATTTCCTGGTGAAAACAGAGACTTTTTACAAAACAGTGACTCTTTTCCAGGTTATATAATCCTTGTATTATAACCACATTATCTCCATATCATTTGTCATATGAAAATACTTTCCCTCTTCATAGTTGTTCTTTGTAACATCTTTGAACTTCAGAATCTTTTATCTCATATTTGGCTTTCCATAAACAGGCAGGATCTCTGTGAGATTCACTTTGTAGAAGCTATTCAGATTTGTTTATGATGTCAAGACTCATTATCATGATATGTTTTCTACAAATAGCATTTGGTAATTCACTACCTTTTATAAAGCAACAGAGGTGAGGTATTTTCTAAAGAATTTCTTCAGAAATATAGGTATTTCTTGGAGCCCTTTCCAGTGTCTGTACATATGCCATTCTTTGAATTAAGGACTAAGCCAAATTATTTTGTTTGAATTTTGACAATGTACTATTTACTCCATAAGGTAAACATTTGGATTTACACAACACTTACCTTCATTTAAAATTTTTATGTCTGAGATGTCTTGGGCATATAGTAGTATATCGGCCAGCCTCTGGCTTTGAAGTTGGCGTAGTCCAGTATAGCTACTTTAGGGATGTGGGGTCGAGGAAAAACATGTTTTTGTTGTCCAGTGTTCATGCTTTCTAGTTATTCTATTTTCTGTTTAAGGGATTTAGTACCTGTTCATATACTTTCTTTTTAAAGGCCACATAAGTAATGACTTGATTTCTAATCTTAACTCTGAAATTTGTCCATAGCACTCTGTCTAATAAAGGAGATTTCTGAAGACTTATTTGAGAATAGACTAATTGGCCAGCAATCAGTGCTGTTTTAAAATGTATATTTTACTTTGAGAATTATTTCCATGGCTGAAAGAGTTTAAAATTGTGCATGTGATGACATAATTTGGACTCTCATCAACCTTGTTTTGTAATGTTTTCTGCATTGTGTCCCTGAGACAGTGCAGTTCCAAACAACTCTTCTAAAACACTAGCACTTAATTCTGAAAAAAATACTCTGTGCATTATAGTCTTACCTGAAATAGTACCTGTCTATTGAATCTAGTAAATACGAATATTTTAGACATAAAGGACTCTATAGGAAGAGAGCTGAATATTAATCATTGTTTCCTATGAATGTGGGCAGTCTTTCTAGAATATACATGAGTAATTTTTATAGAGGATCAAGTTAGTAAAGATTGCCACCTGAGGTGGCATGTGCCTATAATCTCCCAACATTCAGAAAGTTGAGGTGGGTGGCTTGCTGTGTATTTTAGGCCAATCTGGGTTACATTGTGAATTCAAGACCAGCTTAAACTATACTGTATCTTAATATAGTGTCTCATTAGCCATTTTGTGACTCTATACAGTGTCTCAAAAAAAAAAAAAAAGAGATCATTAGTGGAATCATGTTGGGCTTATCAAATTAAGAGTGTGACTTAACAATCAGTAGAGTGAAAAAAGTTCCTCAGTTTGTATTAATATGGGGCAGACTGTGTTCACGAAGATAAGAAAAAAGGAAGTTTCCTGTCAGCAGTCAGTTATACTTTTTATGGGTCTTATATCGATAATAAAAGACTCTTGTGGTGAGAGCCCATGTAGGTGCAATATTGTTTTGGTGGGATCAGCAGAGAAAATTGTATATTGCTACCTTCATGTGTCTTCTTGTTTGGCTTTTTTGTTTAGAAGTGAGATTTAGTTCTTTGTTGCTGAATTTTAAGTACAAAGAGAATAAATAGTCTGCTTAATTTATTGTGATCTTTAATTGAAGTCTGTTTAGCTTAGTTAGACAATCTTGAAGGAGGTTTGAATAACTGAGATTTTGCTTTAGTTTCAGTGAAAAGGAAATACTTCAGTTCACTTGAGGCAGTACAACATTTTGTTCTTCCTTTCCCTGCAGCTAGAATTATGAACATAAAGCCATAAACAGATTCAGTGTTAATTTTTAACTGTCCCATGTTTCCACCCTCATCAGTAGTAAATAATGTGTCTGATTATAAAACGGAAAAAGTTGGAACTTTCCACTTGTGTATTTTGAGCTTTTCAGAGGTATTATACACTCTGGAAATAATAATAAATGATACTGGGGCTTATACAGTGCGTTTTGTGTGAGAAGCTCGTATAAACACTAATGCATTGATCCTAACACAGTACTTGATTGTGACTTTAAAAGGTCATGAGTTACTGCTGTTATGAAAAAGAAAGAAAGGAAGAAAGCAAGAAAAGAAAGGATGGAGAGAAGCTCCAGTTTACAAATATTGTTTTAAAAAATCTAGATAAAAATTATATAAACTAAAAATAAAAGTTACAAGATGGTTTTATTGTTTGTTGACTTTTTCTCTTAGTCTGTGATACTTATCCCCTTTACATATTTTTTTGATATATGAATCTACTCAAAACTAGAGTTCTTTCTTTAAATAAAAGCAAAATGTACTTTTCAGCCTTTATTTTTTTTCAGTTAACAAGACTTAAAACCAGGGGTGATTTCTTCAGTTTATCGCATTAACATGACATTTTTACTAGTTCTGAATTGGGAAACCATCCTTTTAGCTTTCTTAGTTTAACATCTGTAGTCTAGGCTATTGGTTTTGATGAATATAGTGGTCATATGGTTTAGTTTTCAACTTTTTTGTATTTTGTAGGTTTATTCTTCAGTCCAAGGAGGTAATTCATAATCAGCTGTTGGAGAAACAGAAGATAGCAGAAGAAAAAATTAAAGAACTAGAGGTAAGTTTTTAGTGACTATTGATAATAGTCAATTTTCAGGAAAAAGTAAATCTCAAAGTCATTAAAGTGTGTTATTAATTACTATGGCTTATGTCTTTTTTAAAAAAATCTAATTGTATTTGAGCTATGTAGCAGTGATATTTGTGGTAGTATATAAGACAAAACAAAAACCAGTCTACTGGGGCAGTTTTAAAGATATGATGATAGTATTACTGAGTTTTTTTGGATCATTGAACAAAACTGTTTGCACTCTCACTGTTTGAAAGTCCACTTTATATGCTTCAATTTTGTAACTTGAACAACTATTTCTAAGATGAGAATATGTAATCTATTAGCTAGTGGTTTCTTACTGTTTATTTAAATTTTGTATTACTTGTACCCTTTTTCTGTTTCTCCTTTTTTCTTTTTCTCCTTAAATAAAAAAAAAGAAAGGTATGATGACAGTAATCTTAATACATTTTCTTCTTTGCCTTTGAATGGACATACACATTTCTTAAAACCATGGACAAAAGATCAGTATACTACATAGGTGTACTGGAAAGTGGTGGATGGGCAGGAGAGTGGAATAGTAACAGTTGTTAGAGGATCTTGGTTTCTCTTTTACATGTTGTAAATTCTTTAACCTAGATTAAATTCTAAATAAGGATTAAATTATGAGCTATAACTAGTTAACTATCTGTAGGATGGTGTTCTTGTGGTGAATCCTTTTCAGGCTTTCAATTTACTTTGCCAAGATCCATTAGAAGAATCATCATCTGTGACACCTATAGCCTTATGAAGCATATTTCTTGTATAAAATTTGAAAAATTGAAATTACTGCTTGAACAGTAGACTGCAGAATAGATATTGTGTTATCAAGTGTGAGAAAAGAATTCATCTTATTTTATTGAGCTTTTATATAGCCAGATATATTGAACAGCAATCATTTGAAAATATATCTTTTTTCCTGAGTGAGCAGTTGATCTCAAAGGTAGGTTTAAAATGTTAGGTAATCTCTTTCTGACTCTGTCTCTATCTCTCTCTCTGTGCTGGAGATTAAGCCCAGGCTTTTTGTATGCTAGGCAAGTCCTTTACCACTGAACTAGTCTCCAGCCCTACTAATCTCTTTTAAGCAAGTTGCTGTCACCCAGCCTTGTTGTTCCATAGGGCACAGGAAGAGGAGATCAATTGTAAGGACTGTGGGATTTTCAGAATGGCTAATGAGCATTGACTTTGTTATCAATGCACAAGCTGTATTAGCCCCTATCATGAGTCAGCCTATCCTTTGAAGCCAAGCATTGACTTCTCTATGAAAGTCCTAGGTGGCATCTTCTAATAGAAAGCTATTTTGTCTGCGTTGAAAGTCTGCATTGAAAGGCATGGTGGTGCCTACTTGTAATCACAGCACTTGGAAGGCTGAGGCAGAAGGATCACGAGTTCAAGGCCAGCCTGGCTACATAATGAGTTCAGGGCTAGCATGGACTATAGAGTGAGAGCCTGTCTCATCTATCCCCCTCAAAAAAATAAAAAATAAAAAGTGTTGTTTAGTTTGGCTACTTGTATCACTTATCTTAGCCACGCCTGCTGGACAGCTTTCTCTAGCTTCTGTATCATCACTTGGTGCTTCACCTTGCACTTTGTGTTATGGAGCTAATTTATTTCCTTATGAGCCAACCGTGGCTATTTCAAACATTTTTTCTGCAATTTTCTCATCACTTTCAGCCTTCACAAATTAGAGAGTTAGAGACTTGCTTTGGTTTTTGGCTTTAGCTGAAGGGAATTTGTGGTAAATTTGATCTTCTGTGCAGATGATTAAAATGTCCTCCATATCAGCAGTAAGGCTGTTCTATTTTCTTATTCATGTGTTCATAAGAGTAGCACTTTTCAACTCCTTCAAGGACTTTTCTTTTGCATTCACAGTTTGGTAAGGAAAGGAAGAGGTTTAGCTTTCAGCTTATCACTGAAAGCTTTTGGTTTTTACTATGCCTTCTCTCTCTGTCTCTCTCTTTCTCTGAGTCTCTCTCTTTGTCTCTCTTTCTCTCACTGTCTCTCTATTTCTCTCTCTGTCTCTGTCTCTCTGTCTCTGTCTCTGTCTCTCTCTCTCTCTTTCTTTGTTTTTTTAAGATACTGGGGATCAAACTCTTGACTTTGTATTTACCAAGCAAGCACTTGAGCCACTGAGCTAAATCCCATGCTGCTATGCCTTTTTCACTAAGCTTAATCATGTCTGAAGTTTGATTTAAAGTGAGAGGCTTTGGACTTGTCATTTCCCTTAACACTTAGAGGCTATTGTAGGGTCATTCTTTACTCTAACTACAATATTAGTTCTCAGGGAATAATGTCACCTGAAGAGAGGGGGAGAGCTGTGAGAAGAGCTGGTTGGTGGAATGTATACTTAACAATTAAATCTGCTGTCTTCTGTGGATGTGGTTTGTGGCACTGCAGAACAATTAAAATAGTAACATCTAAGATAACTTAGTACAAGTCACCTTAAGTAATGTAATAGTAATGGAAAAGTTTATAAGATTATGGTAATGACTAAAGCGTGACACAGAGACATAAAATGGGCATATTTTGTTGGAAAATGGTGCCAAAAGACTTTGCAACATAGGATTCCCACAGGCCTTGAATTTGTTAGAAATGAAATGTATGCAAAGCACAATGTGAAGTATGTCTAATTTTGTTTCTTTCTTTCTTCTTTTTTTATTGGCACTGGGGATCGAACTCACGACCATACACTTGCAAGGCAGGCTCTTATGCCGCGGAACTAAATCCCTAGCCCCAATGTGTCTAATTTTCAATACTGCCCTGACCTGTATTTTTAAAAGTGTGAGCCACTGTATACTTCATTCTCTTTCAAGCAGTCTTTCACTTTTTCTTTCCAATACTGTACTTGGAACTCAGCCCAGGACTTTCACACTGATAAACATTCCTAGCCCTTTTTAAAATTTTTTGTTTTAAGACAAAATCTCACTAAGTTTCCTAGGCTGGTTCTGGGTTTGTGATCTTTCTTGTCTCAGATCCCAGAGTGCTGGGATTATGGCTAGCAGTCTTTTAGTTTTATACAGCTACACCTTTGGGGTTTTGTTACTTCAGCCTGAGATCTATGCATGTGTACACATTCACTGTGCATTCATACATACACATACATTAAATTACAGTGGTCAAGTTTTCTGTTTCTGATTTTTCTGCTGCTTATTCAGTTTGTTGATGAGGAAGATGGAGACCTCCCTTTAAGAGAGTATTTATAAATTCTTTTTAGTCTTTCAGTTTCCTGGACAGTAGTATTTGGAGGCTATGTTTACTGTGCAAGTGCTCATTGTTCAGTGTACCCAGCTCAGAGCTTTTATTTTGTTTTATAGTTTTAGGAATGTCTCAGCTCTTTTAAAGATATCATTCTGTTGAATTCTGGTTTTTATTGTTGGTATGAAAAGTCATCTGTCAGTCAATTGTTGATTTCTCTTTCTTTTAGTATTCTCTCATCTTTAAAGTTTTATCTGGAATGTGTTTTGGTGTGATTTTAACTTTTTCTTAACCCCACTTGGAATTTGTTGAATTTCCTGAATCTAAGAATAGTGTATTTCATCAGTTCCAGAAAATTCTTATCTTCTAATACTTTATTTTGAGGGTTTCGCTGTGCAGTTCAGGCTGGTCATATAGCCCAGATGGTCTCAACTCATGACAATTCTCCTACCTCAACCTGTCCTGAGTGTGGCTTATAGTCATGTACTATCATGTGTGGCTTCTTATTTTTTTTAATAATGGTATTTCCTTTTGGAATTTACTCCCTCTTTCAACTGGCTGTTACCACTGTCTTTAGTAGCATTTTCAGTTTTTTTTTTAATCTCTAGCTTTCTCCCTTTTATCCTTTATGCATATTTAAGTTAAAATGGCCTTTCTAAAATGTTAAACCTGGCTATGTTACTCTGTGTAAAACCATCATTCTTCCTAGGATGAAGCTCAGACTTCTTAACATACCTTCAAGGCTATGTATGAGATGATTCCTATTTTTCTTCCTCATTTCCTCTGCTTTCACTTGGTGCTATAAGTTCCAGCCATGCAGAAATATTCTACTTTAAAGCTTTTTGTACTTTGTTTTCACTAGATCTTTGGAAAGAATCTCCCACTATCTGCTTTCTCCTGCTTTGTCTGCTAATCCTTCAGATCTTAGTACAGAGCTGCTTCTCATGAGAAGCATTTTCTCCTTTTCACTCTTAAAATTATGTGCTGTTTCCTTGAGCTCCCAGATTACTCTATCAGCTTCTTAGCACAATGTGGAAATTTGGAATACACTATCACTAGTTGAAGTAAATCACAAATATGGAACCAGGTATATATAGTTCAGTGGCACAGTGCCTGCTTGGTAAGCACAAGGTCCTTGAGTTTGATTCCAACCAAAAATAAAACAAAACAAACAAACAAAAACCAAATATGGTTTCCTATTGTTTGCAAAGCTTGATACAGATTCAAAATTCTAAATGGGTTTTCCCAAGGCCTCCTATAATTGCTTCTCTTTTCAAATTCAGTGTCTTCTTCTGAACCCTAGTATTTCTTGCCAGTCCAACACATTTTGTCTTTATCTTCAGTCATTGTTCTTGTTGTTGTCATTATCATCATCAGTTTCTATCTTTATATACCTTGCAATGAAATGGGAAAGACACAGTTTGTACAAAATCCTACAGAAAAAGGACAAGTTACTTCCTTTTTGCAAGTTTTCATCTCTGAAAGGATACATTTCTTTTTTTAATTTTATTTAAGGAGAAAAAGAAAAAAACAGAAAAAGGGTACAAGTTATACAGAATTTTAAAAAAATAAACAGTAGGAAATCACTAGTTGATAGATTACATATTGTCATCTTAGAAATAGTTGTGTCAAGTTATAAAATTAAAGCATACAAAGTGGATATTCAAACAGTGAGACTGCAAACAGTTCTGTTCAATGATCCAACAAAACTCAGTAATACGGTTATCTATCTTATACACTTAAATATACATGCAGTTATAAAGGATACATTTCTTTTA